TATTGTGTTTTCATCTGAACAGGCCTATTTTTGATTTCTGCTCACTTTCTTTTCATGTCGTAGGCGATGGCGATGGCGAAACGTTTGGGGGCTTGTGCGGGTGCGTGGGGTACCGCGGCGGTCCCGAAGGCTTGCTGTAGGGGGCGCCCGTGTGCGGCGGAGGGCCAATTCGCACACCGATGCTGGTGGTGGGAGGCGAAGCAGCTGCGTAGTGCCAGGGAGGGGCGGCGGCATGCGTAGCGGGGAGTGGCGAGGGTGGGGAGAAGCAGCAGACGGCGGCAATGCGTGAGTGACGTGCAGCATTAAAATATTCCTTCTTCTGTGTGGGGCTCACTGGGTGGCGCGGTAACCGCAGAGTGAGGCCGCCGCTTCCGCTCTTGCAGAGGGGAATATGCTGCTGCATTTCTGCCGGGGCCCGCCCTTCCACGTGACAGCAAAGCCGACGCCGCCGGCACGCTGAGAAGCTGCGGGTTCCACCGCCACGGCGACTGAAGGAAGCGGAGGTGTCTGCGGCTGCCTTCGCAGGCTGCGCCCCGTGCGGCCCAGTCGTGTGGCAAACAGTTCCCTCGCGGAATCCACGTGCACCGCACCACGTGCTGGGCGCAGCGTATATTTGCGTCGCGGGGGACAATGCGGTGGCATCCCTCCTTCTTCTCGCGGGTGAACGAAGAGGCGGCGGGTGTTCTGCTCCTTTGCACCTCAGCGAATTGCAGAACAAAATGCCACCGTGACGGGGCAGTCAATTTCACTATGAGTGGGTGATATTTGCGTGCGACTACGCACACACAGAGCTGTGGGGATCCGAATGCCAAGTGCAATACGAGAAGAAGATAGAAGCCTCGTCGCAGTTGTTGTGTGTGCCGTGCAGTTTGCACGGGTTGTCGAGGGAGATCTAATTTGCTCTCGTTGTTTGTGTGGGAGGGTGCCGTGATGCATCACGCTTGCGTTGTGTGCGGGATTGGGGGTGCCTGTGCATGTTTGTGTGTGCGTGTGAGGTGTGCGTCGCGTGCCGTGTGTGTGGCCTTTTCTCTTTTTTTTGTTGTGGCTGCGTAGGGTCGTGTTTGTGCGTGTTTTTGGCTTTTTTTTTTCATTCTCCCTTTTTTGGCTAGTGGTTAGTATTGCTTTACAACTTAAGCCAACAATCACTACAAAAGGACAACAAGTTCAAGGAAAACATGTCGGATAGATATAGGGAAGAATCTCACGCCACCGAGGAGCCCCCGCACAGTGTCGAAGGGTGGAAGGAGCGCCGCAGCGGCCAAGGTGGACGCTATCGAGCTCTATCGAGGATGTCCTTAATGTACGGGTTGGTCAAAGCAACGGAATTTTGCTGAACGACTTCCTTCGGTAGTACGTTGGCCCCAACAGAGCGGTGGGTGGAGACCGGAGACCAGAATGTGGTGATGGAGGTGTTTGTGCGTGGGCCAGACAGGTACGTTACAGACGCGGTGCTTCGTGGGGAAATTCTTGATTTGCCACCTTACACAGCCATAAGGGGAAAAATGAAGATGCACGCGAGCCTCTGCAGCACAGTGCGGGCTCCTGCGGAAAGACCCATTGACGCGTTTGTAGTTTTCACCAGTGGACCCGCTGGTGTCAACATACTTTTGAGGGAAGTCTCGTTCAGCAAAATTGTGTTGTTTTGGCCAACTTATCCCAGCAATGCGTCGCGGAGAGAACTCGACAGCGCCCACCCTGGCTGTTGCGGCGCTCCTTCCACCCTTCGACGCTGTGCGGTGGTCTCCTCGGTGGCGTGAAATTCCGCCTCGCGTCTCTCAGACAAGTTTTCCTTCGTGGTGGTTAACTTGAGTTGAACTGCAGCACAATACTCAACCAGCAGTCAAAAGGGAGAATGAAATTATTTAAAAAAAAACAGGCAGAGACACGACCCCACGCAGCCGCAACAACAAAAAAAAGAGAAAAGGCCACACACACGGCACGAGACGCACACCTCACACGCAGAGGCACCCTCAATCCCACACGACGGCAAATCACCGCCAATATTTACTTTACACTCCGCTGAAGGCAGAGCATCCACACTGCTCGAAGGCAGGCCACTCTGTCCATTACTCCCTTTCCAGCGCCACCCATGAACCTTCACCCAAAGCATCGTGCGGCATAGGCGGGAAACATCACGATGCCTGCGGAGGGTCACCGCCAAACAAAGACGCGGCCCCACCACGTGCCCATGACGACGTTTCGTCCTCATCGCAGAAAAAAGGGTGTGTGCGTATGTGTGACGGCGTGTGGGGCAGCAAAGTGACAGCATCGGCAGCCGTCACTCGCCAAAAGAACAGAAAAAAAAGAGGGACGAGGGGCGTGTCAGCTTCCAGCTCAAAGGCACAGGTGGAGCCGTGGCAAAAA